GGGCGGGGGGCATGCCGGTTAAAGGTGCGGGACTCCCACATGGCTAACTGGTTCGAGGCTCGGACACGGTGGCTTGCTTTCTCACTTTCCCTATCTCTATCTTTTTCTGGTCAAACTGGAAAATAATAATAACTATAGATAGATAATTTTTTAAAAATTAAAAATGATTTTATTTTATCCATAATGATTATTTCTAAAAATCTGACCAGGAAGTCAGGGCAAGTGGGAAGGCAGGCTGGCAGGCCGGGGCTCGATCTGTGGTCGACCCTGTGGGAGTCCTGCGCCTTCACCACCCCACTGATGGCCCCTGGGAATGCTCTCCAGGAGCAACCCCCATGTCCCCGTCAGCAGCGACCTTAGTTAACAGGGAAAGAACGAGGGGTGCCTGCCGTGTGCCAGGGCCCAGGACCCCACTCCCAGAGGGTTAAAGGTGTTCACAGCTGCGGGGTGGGGTGGGGGAGGACCCCTCCCTTTCCTAGCCTCGAGGCTAGGCGAGGGAGGCAAGGCCAGTCAGCATCCTGTCCCCCAGGGGCTGTCTTCAGGGCTTTCTCGGAGTGTCCCCACAGCCTCGGGGGCCTGCCCTCCTGCCAGGCCACTGCCCACCCCTCTGACCGACGCCAGGCCTTGGCTTGCTGTGTCCTTTGTCTGGGATGCCGCCCTCCCCCAGGTACATCTGGAAAAGGTTCTTCATCTTTGGGCTCTCTCTTCCACACCTCCACCTCCTCCAGGAAGACCTCCAGGGATGGCCTGCTCCTCCGAGGTTCTGGTCCTGACTGCCTGGGTTCAGGGCTACCCGGAGAGGTGGGTGGGAGCAGGATGTTCTGGACAGCGGGCCACGTGTGGGTGGGGTGACGTCAGCTCATGCACAACCTAGTAAATGTTTATGGGCAGGGGGCCTGGGTTTGGGGCTCCCTGGGGCCCAGCGAGCGGCCTCCCCTGCCCCATTCTGGGGGGCCTGGCTGCAGGCGGGGGGCCTGGCAGGCCTGCTCAGCACTGGCAGCTGGCCCAGAAAGGGCTGGGAGGGAGGAAGCCCAGCCCCGGGCTAAGCACTGCCTGCCTCGGATGCAGAGGGAAACTGAGGCTGGGAAGGGCTCGCTGGCTTCGAATGTCCCCTCCCCCTCCCTGGTCTGTCGTGTGTCTGACAGCGAGAGCCGTGAGGTCCGGGTCTGGGCTTCGTGGGGGCCTGGAGGGTGCGGGTTTGTGGGAGGCTGAGGCCTGGGTGAAAGGGCCCTAGTCCCTCCCCTCTCCAGCCAATTTGGGAGGGATGCTCAGGGCAGGATGAACGGGGCCTGACCTCGCCGGGGGCCGCTGCATGGCCAAGGACCTCGGGGTGGCCGTCCACCTGGGCTGACCGGCCATTGGGCTGAGTCTGGTGGGCCCTGCCCCCTGCTGGCCGGTGCAGGAACTGCAGGCCCCGGTGTGGGGTCGGATCTCATCCCAGGGGTGTCATTCCCATTAGCCAGGTGAGCAGGCTGAGCTCTGCTATGAGGTTGGGGTCAGTCCGCCTTCCTCGGGGAGTCGCCAGGCCAGACAGGAGTCTGGGTCCATGGCAGGAAGGCGCTCCAGGCAGCATGGGGCAAGGTGGGGCGCCCAGGAGCGGCAGAGGTGCGAGGGAAGGGCGGGTCGCCGTCAGCAGCAGCGCAGCCCTGGCCAGCCTGGCCCTGCACACTCCACGTCACCAGGGGAGCAGAGGAAAGCCAGCCTCGGTTCACCCGCCTTCTCGCCGAGTCTAGACCCCCTCAGGCCAGCCTGGGAGTTTGGACACAGGAGGTGACAGGGCTGTGACCTGCCCTGCCCAGCCCCGTCCCCCTGTGCAGCTCTGCTCCCCGGGGTGGGTGCCAGGGCCGAGATTTATGCCTGCCTGAGCAGCCTGCCCTTCCTCCCCGGCCGCCAGGAAGCTCCAGCCAGTTCCGGAGAAGGAGCAGGGCTTAAATCACCTGCTGACAGGCCACGGGCAAGGACCGAGATGTGCTCCCTGCTGCCAGCTCCTCACCGGGTGGGCTGATGGGGTCGGGTCCCAGCTCCCGCCAGGGTTTCCAGTGATCTGTCAGATGGGGATGAGGCTCCTGGGCCGGGCGGGCCAGACTGTCTGGGCTCTCCGCTCCGACGCCCAGGAATTTGGGACGGGGCCTGTTTTCCACACTCTGCTGGCTTTGGGGCAGGCCCAGACAGCGAGGCCGGGACCTCTCACTGGAGGGCAACCGCAGGCTCCCGCCCTGCCAGGGACTTGAGGCCCGGTGACCACGATGTCACAGCGGCCCTGCAGGAGTGAAAGCCAGAGCCTGGAGGCAGCCAGCCCATGTGCAAGGGCCTTATCTCCTGGAGCCTCCCTTGCTTGCTGGCACGTCCCCGCTGTCACCAAGCCCTCGGGACACTCGCACACACAGAGACATGGTTTATTTCTAGATGCATCTGGACCACGGGCTTCCCGGCAGGTACAGGCTCACACCTTGGGCTCCACAAACACCTTCCAGCCTTCCAGTTGCCCCATCTTGACCAGGGCGGCCGCTGTCCCCATGTACACACAGGCGGTGGCCCCGATCCCCGGGCTGTGAGCTGTGGGGGAACAGGGCGTCAGGTGCGCAGGAGGACATGCCTGGGTCCCTTTGCAGAAGGGTCCTTCGCCTCCCCCGCAATGATGGGGACCCCGTGCTATCCCAGCGCCAGGCCTGGTCACGCATGTGCCCTGAGGTCTGTAAACAAGATTACGGACGGTCCTGGTCGCTGGGGCCTTCCTGCCCGGGACTCAGCCCCGTCACAGTGGAGAACAGGGGCCAAAGCCAGCCTGAGCTGGGCTGCATGGACCTCACCCCGCCTCTAGCCAGTTCCAAGAGGGAGCCGGGGACCGCGGGGCCTCCCCGAGGCCTTGGCGCAAAGGCAGCCCGCCAGGCAGCATGCTCCTTCCTCGGCGTCCGCCCTCTGCCCGCCTGGAACCACCCACCAGGTGACACAGCCCGCTAGACCGTGGCTGGGCTCGTGGC